ATGCTCAAGGTCCTTACAGCCAGCCCTCCGTATCCATGGGTTGTGCATTGAAAATATTCCATTTGCATTTGGCTGAATCCACGGATGCAGAGCCCGCAGATACGGAAAATGGACTGTGCTTATTCTCTTTAGGAAACAAATTAGGGGAGGGGTCATGGATGATGGGTGGGCTGTGCTAAGTTCCAACTGTTTTAACTGCTGGGTGGCTTAGGAAATTCAGGAAAAATGAGAACTAGAATATGGAATTTGTTGCTCTCAGGTCAGTTACTAATTTTATGGGTCAATCAGCTTCCCCAACGTTCACTGTTCAAATTTCACATCTCTTCTCTCAGCCTCCTCTAGTTCTTAACCCTCACTCTCAGAATATTAAATTCAGGAAGGCCCTCTGATAACACTGAATCCAGTCTTCCCAGTTACACAGCTGAAGAAACTGAAATCCAGCAAGAGCAGGGCTTAGGCGATAATTAGGGAATATATTGTTACCCACGTTCTAGAAAAATTGCAGTGACTTTTGCAGTTTCTTCAGCCCTTTGGTGAGTGGCAGTTCTTTTGGAGGCAACCATGTGGTGGGGGAGGGTTGGCAGGCCATCTGTCACATGGATGGCCAAGGTGCTTGGCCACTGGACAAGAATGCGGTAGAACTGTACTTAAGCCCCTCTCTCCCCTTGCCCCACTGGAGAATCAAGCCCTCTGGTCAGTACTGTCTGCCCCATACCTCCAGCCTTGTCTACATTTTCCTTTATTTGTGCAAATTAAACCTTGTTTTCCTGTGTTCAGTCCTGCTTCATAAAGATTTTCTGGAGGAGGTCATTTTATTGTTTTTAGTGAAAAAAGAACAGAATGTGGGCAGAATTTGTTGGGAAGATGGGGTGAGAATTTCACGTAAGTTTTCACTTGAAATATTAAGGGAATTCCCTGGCAGTCCAGTGGTTAGGATTCCACGCTTTCATTGCCGAGGGCGTGAGTTCAATCCCTGGTCGGGGAACTAAGATCCCTCAAGCCTCGTGGTGTGGCCAAATTTTAAAAAAAAAAAGAAGAAATATTGACTGAATTCCTTACTTTCCTCCCTTCCCAAAGGGAGAAAGATCTCATCTGTAATGTCTGGGAATAGAGGAGGCATGGGTTGTGCTCTACTGGTCTTTGTAAGCCAATCGTAACCCAATTGACAAAGCTGCTCCTGTGGCCTCCTCCCCACCAGTGCTGGTGAGCCCTTGCCCCTGGGTTTCGAGCCAGTGGCCTCAGGCCACAAATTACTTTCCAAGTACCTGATAAGCTATGCATAATGTGAGGAAGTACTTGGGTACAGAAATGGCTTTTAGAGGCAACTTTAATTTATTAAATTTCTAACAGGCTCTGAAGAAGTGTTATAACCATTCTAGGATTACAAAAATAAACAGAAGCCGTCCATGCCCCTACCTTAAATTCTGAGGTAAAATGAGAAAGTACACCAAGAAAAGTACACATTTGAACATTTAAATGACATGTTCAAAGATGACACCTCTAAGCTGATGGGGGAAAGTAGTTTAGGGTATGCGTGTAGGAGAAAGTGATGAGGGTGAAAAACCTGAGCCTTGGCCAGATCATGAATGGAATTGAAGCTAAGAGTGAATGATAGGTAAGGAAGATCCTGAGAGTTCTGAAGATGAATTAGTCCTTCATTTTAGGAAGGTCAGAGTGAAGATGTGAGGTGAGTGTGGGGAGAGAGATTCTGGTTATTAAACTTTCCCATCACTTTGCGGATGTGATGAGGCTCTGAAGTTGAAAGATCTTTCTCTGCCTACCGTGCTGTGAGGCTGTCTATACATTGGCAGAATAGAATGTTCTTCACCTGCTATTCTTATATCAAATTGTTTATATTTGACTCTGAAAATATTCTATACAACAGACTGAATCCAGACTGTATTCCCTCCAAAAAAAGCTATTAGACCAGAAGAGGCCCTCAGATTCACTCAGTTGTACCCCCAGCTTCTTCCTGTCCTTACCATCCCTGTCTAGAGTGAAGGAGAAGCAAAGCAAGCCAGTACCAAGACCACTATGGAAACCTGTTTTCACTAATATTTCTTTACTGGGAAATTGGAGTTTGCTGTTCTCTCTGATGTCCAATCTTTTCTTTCAGTTCTCTGCACAAGCCCTTGGTATCCTTCCTGACCACCTTTCTGACCACCTTTCTTAAAATACTGCCTTTTTTCTCCAGTCCTTGACCCTGGTTTATTATTCTTCAATTTCCTTGTTTATCTTTCTCACTCTAGAGTATGCAAGTTCTACAAACTTGGGCCTGGAATAAATTTGCTTTCCAAGGCATCCAAAGATGTCCTGACAGGATGACAGGTGCCCCCAAACTTACAAATGATCTAGGCCATGAAGAGGAGGGTGCCTGCTGAAGCATCTCTGACAGCACCTCCACAAGGGATCAACAGCCTGTGTGCCAAAAACCTTACTTCTCCTTAGTGAGGGTGGGTGTCTAGATCAGAGCCCGACTGGCAGATGGGCAGAGCAGAAGCTGTGTTAGTGCAGGGTCTGCTCTACTTTCACAGATTCCTCACTCCTCCAGGCAGAGCTTGAGTAATCTTGAAAAGACTTCACCCATTAATGGGGACACATACTCTGTGTGTCAGTAGGATGATTAAGAGTAAGTCCTCACAACATTGTAAATCAACTATACTTCAATTTAAAAAAGAGTCTAATAAGAAAAAAAGTGAGTCGTGATGCGCGTCAGAGGTGTGAAGGGCTTGAGGCCGGGAGGCAGTACTATTTCATGTTAGAGTCTCACTGGGGTGTAGCTGCTTGGCTAGTTGGGTATTAGATTTAGGATAAGTGCTCACCAACGACAGCAACTCCTGAGGCTCCAGCCTCCTCCAGCATCTTGAATCTCAAGCCCATTGTCATTTTTTCCTGCTGTAGCACAGAAAGACTCAGGTCAAACCCAGATCCTGCCTGATGTAGGAGTCTCATGCCATCTTGAATATTTTTATAGCAAAAAGAAGTTAAGTTTTCTTAAAGGGATTTTTGGTTTTATTTCTGTGGATGAGGCAAAAATGCAGTTCTAACTCAGAGCAAATCTTAATCACCAAAGAGGAAGTGTTTTGGATATAAGCCAGTGGACAGTAACTGGGCAGGGAGAAGTAAAAACATACAAAGCACCAGTATTGATTGTTTTTACCACAGATTCCCTAGAAACAATGGAAATGTGATGCAGGCAAGATTCAGTAGATTCGGTACTTGCCAGAAACCCAAAATCTTTATGTTGTCTGCCAGGTCCTGACTTCTCAGGTGCCCAATTCCTGCCTTTTGAGGTGTCAGCTGAAAAAAGCAGGGTTGCCTTTTCTCCATTCTAGCTCTGTTCCCTAAATCAAGTCCCCTAACTCATCTAGGCAATAGCTCTCAAAGGTCTGATTACGTGCTGCCAGTTGGGATTGAAATTTGAGTGGGGCACAGTCACAGTGAAAGCCATGCAGCCCCAGCAGATGTCTGTGAAGCAGCAGCATTGGCACCTCCTGGGAGCTAGTTAGGAAATCAGTTTCAGGTCTCACTCTAGACCTACTGAATCAGAATTTGCATTTGAAAAAGATCCCTGAGTGATATGCCAGCACATTGAAGTTTGGATGCAAAAAGAAATAGGTGATTCCAGTACAAAATGGCAAGGGAAGTGAATCTATAATATCCCATCCACTACTAACAAGCAGTGTGTGCTGTTTAGTTAGTTCTACTATAGCTGTGTTGTCAGTAATTACTGCACTGAATGTTCCTACCTCTGAATTGGCTACCCACAGCAGGTGTGGGGTTTTTTTGTTTTTTAATTTAATTTTATTTATTTTTTGGCTGCATTGGGTCTTCATTGCTGTCCGTGGGCTTTCTCTAGTTGCCACGAGCAGGGGCTACTCTTCGTTGTGGTGCACGGGCTTCTCACTGCTGTGGCTTCTCTTGTTGCGGAGCACGGGCTCTAGGCGCACGGGCTTCAGTAGTTGTGTCTCGCGGGCTTAGTAGTTGTCGCTCGTGGGCTCTAGAGAGAAGGCTCAGTAGTTGTAGCGCATGGGTTTAGTTGCTCCGCAGCATGTGGGATCTTCCTGGACCAGGGCTTGAACCCATGTGCCCTGCATTGGCAGGCAGATTCTTAACCACTGCGCCACCAGGGAAATCCCTCGACAGCAGGTTTTAAAGATGAGATTCAGTTCAGTTCAAGACGCCCTTAAAACCAACTAATTGGAATTGGAGCCGGTCCTGCTAGAGATTTAGTCCTGAGCATGGAACACACAGCTGCCTACCTGTGATTTTAGGCAGCACCGTTACAAGAGGAAAAGATTTCTAGTCTCACCTCATGTGGAAACTGGTGCTTCTAGTTTTTTCAACAATAGACTTGGCTTTGCACAGAAAACAGCATGAACCTGAAAATAAAACAATCAGGGATTGAAGTGGGGCCCATTGGCTACTTTTAGTAATCTTATGCTAAGAGGTGCAAAGATCTGAGTGCTAGATTTCAGAAACAGTGCACAGGCAGCCAGAAAATGGTTAGTAATGAATGCTTAAACTCCTAAAGATTATACTGAAGACAAAAGAAAACTTGTGTGAGTTGAGTAAAACTCTTGCTTTCAAATTTTATTTATAAATAAGAGATATATATACATGTACGGTAGCCTAATGTGATTAACAGGTTCCATTTTGTTCTAAATATTTAATATATAGTCTTTAATGTCCAGGGTGAGGTAGCCAAGAAATAGAACAATACAGCATCAGTCCCTTCATTCTCCTTCTGGCTTCTAGAAGAGAAACTCTGCAGTGACCTCACCTTTCACACCAAAAATAAGTGATAAAAATGATAGATCCTATTTATACATGAAGAAATGTAAATATGAGTTAATCAGGTTATTTCATTCCATAAAAGCCACTAAAGCTGCTGGTATTTGCATGGCTCTATGTTTATTTTAACAGCCCCATTCAAATATAACCAGAAAGGTACCGGTCTCTTGACAGTTTGTGTGAAAATGAATTATGCAGCAGAAAATAAATTAATAATAATTATATTGATGCAAGGTTCATCAGCATTTCAGAATGTTGTTTGGAGATGTTAAATCGGTTTTGAGCCTCCATTTGCTGATTCTGACATTGTTATTATCAGCAGGATGCAAAGTCACCCTTCCTATGTCTCCAGCTAAAAGTATGAAAAGGCTGTCGTCCAGAAGAGGGCCCTGATCCCTCGGGGGAGAAACACTAAACTCTGTAAAAAGAAAACCAAACCCAACCTGAACTAATCGTCCAAGGAGTCGAGTTTGGCTAGGAAAGGAAGATCGCCCTCCAAACCAGTTACAGGAATGTGTCCGGGGGTCCGACTCCGAGCCAGGTGTTTCCAGCTGAAAGGTAACAGCCAAGTTCAAGGTTGGACCGTGGTGGGGCGAGTCCTTCATCCAGACAGGGCCCGGCCAGAGCAGGCTGGGGGCCCCGCCTACAGGTCGGAGTCGCAGGGCAGTGCGCTGCCGCATGACCGGGTGCTGCGGGAGGACCCGCCGTGGTGGGATTCGGGAGCCTTCTCCCCATCGAGCACTTCCACAGGGTTGCTGTAGGCCTTGGGCGGCGGCCGGGGCATCGGGAAGCCGGCCTTGCGCTGGCTGGCGGCGCCGAGCTGGACGGGCCGCGGCCGGTGCTGGCCATCGCTGTAGTACTTGATGGCCGGCGTGAGCGCGGGCTCCGGCCAGTCGACGTACACGGTGCTGATGCTGCTGCGGCGCGCCCTGCCTGGAGGCGCCTTCTGGCAGCTGCGACAGCGCTCGGCGCACCAAGGCGCGAAGCTGAGCGCCAGCGAGAAGCCGCCCAGCAGCAGCAGGCAGCTGCCCAGGTAGCCCAGCACCAGGCTGTAGCCGACCTGCACGGTGACCGGGCTGGACTGGGCGGGCAGGACGGCGCGATCCGCCAAGAAGTGGTTGTACCAGGAGACTGGGATGAGGCTCAAGAGGCCCGCGGCGAAAAGCACGACGCCGGAGAGGCCGGCCAGCGCGAAGTGGGGCTCGTCCTGCCAGCAGCGCACGCCGACCGTCGCCAGCAGTAGCCCCAGGGCCGTGGCGGCCAGCGACGTGATCATGAGTCCCCGCGCCACCCGCACGGGCTCGGCGGCGAAGTAGCTCAAGTCGTCTGGCTGACCGCACTGGCGCTCGCTGCTGCTCTGCTCGCGGCATATGTCCCACAGGCCCTGGTACAGCACCAAGTCCACCGGCTGGTCAAGGAAGCCCTTCACCAGTCTCCAGCCGGGCGTCAGCGTGCCGGTCAGGGTGAGCAGCAGCCCGCAGGGTGCGAGCACCATGCCCAGAATCATCACCACCGGCGTCCTCATCCTGGACGGCGCACCTGCCTACTCCTCCGCCTCCGCCGCCGGCTTGCTATCTCGAGCCCTTGCGCCCCCGGAGAGCGCTCCAGACTCCGGCTCCCTGAAGTCCACACGCTCGTCGCCGCCACGCCCGGAGTCCTGCGCCCGGCTCTCCTCCGGCCGCTCTTTGTCTCCGGCGCGGGGCCGTCTGCGCTCCGCTACCCGTCCCTAGTTTGCTCCCCGCGTCCCGGCCGCTCCGCCCTACCTCCCGCCCAGCCGCCTAATCGAAACCAGCTCGCGGGCAAGTCTGATCGAAACCTGGGCCCGAGATGCCGGCGCGCAGAGGTGGCGGCAGCCGCGGCCAAACCCGTCCGGGTGGGAGGGGCTGGAGTGGCGAGCAGGAAGCTGCGCGGCCCTGCGGGACTCGGACCGAGCAAAGGTCGCCCCGCCCCTGCACCTCTGCGCGGCTCGGCGGGGCCAGGTCGGCCTGGGGCGGGGAAGGAAAGAGGCGCCGCCCGAACGGCCGCACCTGGCCCGGGCACTGCGCAGGTCCCTGCTTCTCAGCAGATCTCGGTAACTAAAGTTTTTCTCCGGTCCCTGCCCGTCGACCCTGCACCTGTAGCCTGTCCTCCCTCCACCCCCAGCGGGGATCCGATGGCCCCTCGAAATTTTGCGCTGTTAGCTTGCAGAAACCCACGGCTGAGTGGGCGGAACCGCCCGAGATGCGCTGGGCAGGTGTGCACCGAGGGTCCCCCCGGTCGAGAAGCGTGTCCCAGAGTGTTGCACTTGTGTATTTTGTTTAATTTGCTTAATAAAGACGCCATACTCCGGATTAACCTTGATGGAAAAGAATCAAAGCGACTGTGTTTCTGGGATGAGGAATTACCGAGGCTTTTATTTTCTTTGTTTGGCCTCTTGAAAGATTTTGAAACTGACGAAAAAATAAAGGGGGGTGTGTGTGTGCCCTGTCTAGCACACTTTTCAGGTTTGTCCACCTCTAGGGTCCTGAGACTTTCATTGTCTTTGAGCTGTTTACAACTCTGTAAATTACAGAACACCTGTAGTGTCACAAGTGATTTTTGTCCATAGTAACGCAAATGAGTTTGTCAGTAGAATGTTAATGACTATTGCCCGATGGATACAGACTGCTTTGGCATTGGTTTGTAAATTCACTTTAGCAGGCCTGTTTGCCTATATATGTGTGTCCTTTGCATTGTTCTTTAAATCGGTTGTAACATACTGGTTCCCTTAATAAATTAAATAAAATCTTTGACACGCGTTCATTTTACATTTGTGTGAGAATCATGATTTAACAGTTTCCTAAAAATTATTATTTCTAAAAATCAAAGTTAATTAAGCATTGGTTTGAAGTAATTTTGAACATTCTAGAGTAGACAATATCAAGGATGGGTCTTTTGTTTTTTGAAGATTTTTAAATTAAAAAAATGGTGGTAAAATATACATAAACATAGAATTTACCATCTTAACCATCAAGTTACAGTTCATTGAAATTAAGTATATTCACAGTGTTGTGCTACCATCACCATCATCCGTCTCCAGACTTTTTCATTTTCCCAAACTGAAACTCTACTCATTTATCGATAACTCCCCATTCCACCAACACCCCTCCTACCCGCCAGCCCCTGGCAACCACCATTTTACTTTCTGTCTTTATGAATTTGAGGCCTCTAGATGTTTCATTCAAGTGGAATCATGCAGTATTTATGACTGGTTTATTTCACTTAGCATAATGTCTTCAAGGTTCATCCATGTTCATAGTGTGTCAGAATTTCCTTCCTTTTTAAGGATGAATAATATTCCGTCACATGTATATACCACATTTTATTTATCCATTCATCCTTTGATGCACACTCTGGTTGCTTCCACCATTTGGCTCCTGCAAATAATCCTGCTATGAACAAGGGTATAGTACTATCTCCTGGAGTCCCTGCTTTCAGTTCTCCAGAAGTAGAACTGCTGGATCATATGGTAACTCTGTTTTCAATTTTTTGAAGAAATGCACTACCGTTCTCCATAGCAGCTGCATCATTTTCCATTCCCACCAACAGTACACGAGGGTTACAATTTCTCCAATTACCCTGCCACCTCCTCACCCCACAACTCAGGAAAACTGGATTTTTTCCTCATTGTTTCCGAAGTGTTGTGCTCCCTTTTGCCTCTAGACCTTGGCATATGCTCTTTTCCTTCCCTAGAGTCCTGCCTGCCACTTCCCAAACCCAGTGCATCCTTCAGATCTTCGCTTAAATGCCATTTTCTCTGGGAGGTTTCTCAATCTCATAGATTAGCTTTTCCTATTGGACTTCTATACACACCCTCTTCTGTTGTAACACTTGCCACAATTCCTTATTACTTGAATCACGTAGTTGTCTAGGGCAAGGATAAATTCTTTGAGGGTAGGGATAGTGTTGTTTGGTTCCGCCCTAAAATCCATCTTGATGGCCTGGCCCATAGTAGCCACTCAACAAATCCATTTTATCTTTTTCCGCCATGTCTCCTTTCACATAGTATCCACGGAATTCTCTTACAGATGACTGTCTGGTCAAAATATATTGTTAATGCATTTTAGTAAAGTTGTTGGTTGTTTGAATGATTTTTTTTTCCAGCATAGAAAACAATGAGATATAGGGTAGCTCCAATATTTATGACAAAAAAGTGTAGCCCTGTGGGGGTAACTTTCTACGGTAATAAAAGATGATTGCACTAAGTGTGGCGTCTGATTCTAGATCTGGGCTCTTTGTTCCATTGGGCCTCTGAGTTTATCACAAGGCTGAGTGAGAAACAAAGCATGAATCACAATGTGGCAGGAATGAATTATTGCTGAGATTAGTACCCGTCTGTGTAAACTGATCCTCAGGCCCTAGAATAGCTTTCTTTCCTGCAGAGAGGCCCTATGGTAAGGCAGGAATCTGTTTACAGTGCCCTATGTTTCCAGATAATAGGGGGCTCCCAGCGACTAATTCTAAACGGACTAATGCTGGGGCCCCTGTTAGCCTACATACCATCACGTTGCAAACTCCGGGGAGCAAAGATCAGTGTGCTGTTATGGGGTGTCCTCAGAGTCCCTATATCAGGTCTTTATATTTTACTCTCTCCACATAAGGCCCTAAACACTGTTGTTAGTCTTCCGGTGGCAAATCCAGTTCAGTAGGTTATAGAATAAAAATTAAACCACATGGGGCTTCCCTGGTGGTGCAGTGGTTGAGAATCTGCCTGCCAATGCAGGGGACACAGTTTCGAGCCCTGGTCTGGGAAGATCCCACATGCCGCGGAGCAACTAGGCCCGTGAGCCACAACTACTGAGCCTGCGTGTCTGGAGGCTGTGCTCCGCAACAAGAGAGTCCGCAGAGGCCTGCGCACCGCGATGAAGAGTGGCCCCCGCTCGCCACAACTAGAGAAAGCCCTCGCATAGAAACAAAGACCCAACACGGCCAATAATAAATAAATTAAAACAAAAAAACTAAATGTGTGACTCTGTTCTGTTTAAAAAAATAAATTAAACTATGATCATTCTCTTTTTAAATAGCATTAAAACAGCCTGAAGTGAACGAAGACCATCCACATGTCATTAGCTTTCCTTGTTGACCTATAGCCTGACAACTGGTTTCAAGTTTTGTGTGCCCAATATTGTAGAGAATAAATAGATAACCTTTGACATCCAATTTAAAGTAGCCCCCAATTAGCTCAGTATCACATCACCCTAATTTATTTTCTATATAGAACTTATCACTACCAAATGTTTTCTTATTGTGTTTTGACCTATTTATATTCTGTATCTCCCACTGCATTGTTAAGTTCCAAACTCTAGGGACCTTGCTGGTCTTGTTTGTGGCTATATCTCAGCACCTGGAATAGTGCCTAGCTCGTAGGAGGTACTCAATAAATAGTCTTAGTTTGTTAAGTAAGTGAAAGAAATTTTGTAAAATTCCTACACAGTGAAAGGAAGATACAGCATACATCATTTTAAAAAATCATAGTAAAATACACAGAACATGAAATGTACCATCCTAACCATTTAAGTGTATAGTTCAGTAGTGTTAAGGGCATTCACGTTGACTCCACATAAATGTTTTCATCTTGCAATACTAAAATTCTTTACCCATTTAACAACTCTCCGTTCTCTTGTCCTCCCAGGTCCTGGCAACTACTGTTCTACTTTCTGTCTCTGTGACTTTGACTACTGTATGCAAGTTATGTAAGTGGAATTACACAATATTTATCCTTAGACTTATTTCTTTTAGCACAATGTCCTTAAGGTTCATCCATGCTATAGCATGTGTCAGAATTTTCTTCCTTTTTAAAGATGAATAATATTCCATTGTATGTATAGACCACATTCATTCATTCATCGATGGACATGGGTTGTTTCCACCTTTTGTCTATTGTGAATAATGATGCCATATTAGTAAATCTATTTATTTTTTTATTTGGCCTCGCGGCATGCGGGATCTTAGTTACCTGACCAGGGATCAAACCCGTGCCACTTGCAGTGGAAGCGCAGAGTCTTAACCACTGGACCACCAGGGAAGTCCCCAGTAAATCAGTTTAAATTTATTCTATATCATTCCTGTGTAGTGATTGACTATCTAAAGCAAAAATCTACTTGCCATCCCTCTTGTACATATCAGAAGGTACCACAGGATATCATGCCACTTAAAAAGAAAAACAATTGCTTAAGTTTTATCTTCTAGAAGCTTCTAACCCTTCTTGGCCTAGCATCAAGGCTGCCTCCTTTACAAAGGTGGGGATGCATGGTGGGGGTAGGGCTGGTTCCAGGAATCAGTAGCTGTGCTTACACAGCCTACTTCTCTTCAACCCTGTCCATTTCCATCTACTGCAGGGGAAGAAGATTTACCAGGCCACAGACTAGGTTCATTCAGGTCATTATTTTATATTATGAAAACATTACATCTCTCTTTGATTACTTTGTCATAGTACCTGGACAAACAGTTGAAAATTAGTAGGCATATTACAATGAGGATGATAATCAAAATGCATCTTTGTATTATTCTCAGAATGTGTTCTTTTCTCTTAATGGTTAAAGCAGATATACAATGCATGTTTAATAGGCCACAGACAGGCTGTTTTGGTTAGCCTAAAGTTCAAATTAAATCATGTATAAGCCAGAATGACTTCCCCATACCTCACTATGTGA